TTGAGAAAGGCGTTAGAAGTCGAAGAAGTAATGGCGCTGGGGCATGGAGCCCTGCTCTGAAGACCGGAACACAGACAACGGCGCTTTGAAAAGTACAGGTTCCAGGCCAGCAGGTGACGGTGGTTAAGGCACTGGACTCCTACATGGCCCGTCGCGGTTTCCAAGCCAGCCAGGTCAGGGTTCCGCTGTGGTCTGCGAGTGGCTTCTAGCCGAGCACTTTGGCACGCCACCATCTGCACCAAGAAGCTGGGCCTTATTTTGCTTTAAATTTTTTTTCCTTCACATTGTTATAATGGGCCCGAGAGTGTACGTTTCCATTCGTAACTAGAGAGTCATATGCTGGGTGCTTGGTTTTCTGCCTCCACCTTCGGTGTCGCCAGCAAGCCACCCACACTCCTGCCGCCACTGCTAAGGCCTCGCACTGATTTGGGAAGGAAAGGAGCCTAAAGGGATTTTTGACCAAGTGTAATCAAATAGCCCCTTTGTAAGATTAATGAATAAATCCCAGTGAGTGACGTTTGATGTCCTCCATGTTTCGAACCACTGAAAACAGCTTGAACGATAAGCCTGGAATGAGCTTTTTACGTCTATCCTTGTTAAATGTTCACAGACAGAAGAGCCACAGTAAGAAAGGCTTGTTGATAGTGGCCTGGTGTGTGCAAAGAACACTAGATTTGGAGTCAGGCACTCCAGGATGTGAATCCCAGCCCCAGAGCTGTGGCTATAGTCTTGATCTGTATTTTCCTTAGCTGTAAAATGGAAATAAGATCCCATTGCAATTGACTGAGTGTGCTAGCATACACGAAGAGCCTGGAGCAGTGCCTGCACATAGTAGAACACGAGAATGAACAGTAGTTGCAGCAGCACAAGGCAGGACTTGAACTTCCGCATACTGCTCTCCTGGAAGGTCAGGTCAGGAGTGAGGCTACGCCTGGCCTAGACTCCCAATTTGACGAACTTTCTTTTTAACCAGGATTGTGCAGTGCCTGCGTGCTGCGTTAAGGGGTGAATGAACGAGACAGAAATCACCACACTTCTCTACTGGCTGTCAGGTGGACAGTGGGTTTCTCACACCTGCCCTACCAGAGGTGCTAGTGTTTTTTAAACACCTACTCGGTGCAAGGCACTGTTCTCAGAGCAGAGGATAAGGATAATCTTAGCCTTCTAGAGACAATAGCTTAATGTCTCCATTGCGGCTTCGGGTAGATTGACTGGTGTTGGCTTCTAAAATCTTCCTGCGTAGACTGTACTTCACACTGATCGAATCAGAGTCTCCAAGGGCGCGATTCGGGCATCAGTATTTCCAGAAGCCGTCTGTGACCTCAGTGTGAGGTAAGATTAAGAAGCAATGGGCTAGAAAATAGGCGGGGCGACTAGGAAAATGAGGTAAATAGCAACAACATACCCAGGATGAAGAAATATTAGTGAAAAATAAACATAATGGGGGTTGGAAAGCTTCTAGCAACAAGACCGTATATACAGTGGGTCCAGAGAGGAGGCAGTGGTTGAGGGAATTTTTCAGAGACCTTGTGTTAATATAGGTGGAACACAGACAGGAATAAGCGCCATGGCAGACCTATGGCAAGTTGTCATTTGAAAAGATGAGAGATGCATGTCATGTTTTGTAGAAATGAAGAGTAATGATGAACTCTGTGTTCAGAAACTTAAATTTCTACACAACACTGCTTCCATTTGAGTTCGTTTTTACAGCTGTCCAATCCTAATGATCCAAATCTCCAGAATTTTCTTTAGACTTTCAGGTCAAACCACATAAGAAATTATTTAAATAACTCTTTGGACTTTTTATTTTATATTTTCAGAAAGGATTTCTCATCACTTACAATTTTATAGCATTTATAAGCTAGCAATTATTTTGAGACAGATCAAAAATCTGGGGTGATATTGTTTCTGATATTAAATACTAAATATAGCCCTGAGAGTCCTGGCAGTCAAAGCAATAAGGGAAATGTGGGATCTTATTATCTGCTAAGGGGAGATATGTAGTTTTATTTGAAAAGGCAAACACTTTCTTATTGCTAAAGTCTGGGAAGAATGTATTACATATGGTAAGCATATTGCATGACAAAATGAAAAATAACTTGAACTCACCTGACAACTTGGAGAATTTTTTTGACTTAAACTCACTCTGGGACTAAGGTCTTTCTACCCATTTTTAACTCACCTCTATTTGTTAAGATTAATCAGACCGAAATGTGCCATTCTACTTAGAGAAATCCAATTTTACTCCCATCACTAGACATGGCAGAAAACACTCGCACTGATCTTCCTGCTTTCTAGCTTTGTTGATGTATTAGCAGACACAGCCTGTAAACCTTGTATTTTAATTCCTCTTTGGTGCCAAGTATAATGCTTAAAGAATCATTTGCCCACCTATATTGTTCAAAACGCATCACGCTCTTAAAAGAAAACATGGGTAGTAAAACCCTCTTGAAATTTAAGGCATTTGAAGGAGTTATATTCTTAAGGCATTAAGTCACTCTATGAAGGTATATAAGCAAATTCTTATAAGCTTTCACATGCCCAATTTGGCAAGGGATCATCCATATGAATAGCCCTTTGTTTTCACTCCCAAGATGTGCACAGGTCTTTACAGAACTCACATTGATTCTAGCAATTATTTAAAATTCCTCAGAAATACCTTAAATCTCATATCTTCATTTCTGAGTAGGGACAATGCCAAAATGCCAACAGCTGAGTACTTTTAGATTAAAGGCAACATCCCTTTTGACAGCCTTTCACGGAGACGCAGGCAAACATCAGTTCTTATAAATCGCACCCCTCCTGCACCTCATTCTATGTACCCTGATGGGGGAATCCCGTGGTTGAATAACAGAAGACATGAACCTGGGCAATAATTTCTCGAGGCTGATTTAAAGCCAGTCCTCCTCAAAAACATGCTACCCTCCACAGACCACGTTACAAAGTGGGGGTTGTATTCTCGGGTCTTAGGTTTCATTGCCTTGAACGATCACATATCACCTCTTGTCACTTTTAATTGTAGCTATAGCAGCAAATGATCTCACATCAATCTCCATGTCCACATTTCTAGAGCCTCGCCTTCTCTTGGAGAAATGCTGCTCACAAATACTTCCCTGAGTTATTCTCTAAGAACGCACTCTGCACTGGACTCGTCCCCTCCTCCTTCGGACCAACAAACCGGCATGTGTAGTAGCTGGGTAAGTTCAAGACGGGACACTGCACGTGGACAGGAGGCTAAGGAGACGGTTTCACACGGAAATGCAGGTCGGAGTAAACTTGTCCGATTTTCTAGGACAGGGAGGACACACACAGCCATATACACCAATGCTCCCTACTAGAAAGGTGGACATGAACTATTGATCCTGACTTTCTCTCAAGAACTTGAACGCGATCTCAGGACTCTTTCAACCAAGGGACTGAAGTGGACGTTGTTAATAGATTAAAGAAGAACTTAGCTGAAACGTATCGGCCAACCCTTTCCTAGGTCCTTACATCATCAGCACAGACCTGGAAGGGAACCTCACTCTCTTCAACCCAAGAGCACTTAGTTATTTCTCCAACATCTCTAGTTGAAGACAATTCGGCCTCTTCTTGAACACTTCTAGCGATGAGCTGTGTGAGTGAGCCACATCTGACAGGGCCCACGGACCACGGGGGCCCACAGACCACTGATTTCTACATGAGCGAGAGCAGTTACAACATTCTTGGCTTGTCTTTATTGCCGTGGTCTACTGTTCACTCTCACCTCGGCTCTCGAAGGGTGGAGGTGGTGTGAGGGGAGATCTGCTTTTGTGCTTCATTTCCTGACAAGACATTCAGACCTAGGGAGGAGCTCTCGGGTCTCTAGCATACTCGCTTTTCAGGGAAGAGTTTGAAGAGATCTCCAGAAATAGGGCAATGTGAGAATAGTCTTAATAAAGGGAGAAAAGGACGTTAGGGAGCAGCCACAGAGGGGGCGCCTGAGGAAGGAGAGCTGCCTGAGCTCTGTGGCCCAGAGTTCATCACTTCTGTTCTTGCCCATTCAGTCCTTTTCGTGCTGCTCTACCTTCTAGGTCCTTTCCTCCCTCTTTAAATACTCCGTCCATTGAGCTCATTGATAAAACGTATCCCAAGGTATAACTGACTACTTCTTTCAGAAAACACTTGAATTTGAAGAAGAGTTGTTTGTGTAAATGAATAAAAATTTTTTTAGAGGTTTTTGCTATAGGGCGCGTGCGCTCGCCAGACAGACAGAGAGAGACAGAAAGCGAGAAATCACCCCCCCCGGGGGGATGGCCCCGCCGCAATCCCTTCTCCTCCATTCTCCTCTTGGAATCTTGGGCACGCACGCACATGCGCCCGGCATGAGATTTTTTAAGCCACCAGGTCCGGGACGCAAACCACGGTCCACTACGTGGGAGTCCAGCGACATAGGCATTACGCTAACTACCGGTCCCCTAAATGGATATAATTTTTGAAGCTACATATCGTGTAGGCTATATCTTACTTCTTCCACCCAAATCAATGAATACTCAAGAAATAAAATCCATGCAATATTTCAGCATCGCATAAATTATGACCAAAGTGTGTATTTTCACAAACATTTGAAAGGTCCTGTGCCTTCCAGCATTCTAGTGCCTAACCTAAACATTTTGAAATGCTTATATTAAAAATATTATACTCAAGAAACTACAATTTCAACAAATAATTAGCTATGGGGAAAAATGATAAATATCAACTAACTATGTGGAGTTTCTAACTATCCTTTGTTTTCTGTAGATCTTAATCAAAACTTACTTTTTAACCTGATACACACACACGCACACGCACACACACACACACACACACATTGTGTTGTCAGAAAAGTCATGACCCATTTTTCTGTTTTTCTATGCAAAACTGCGTCATGACTTTCTGACAGCCCAATATATCCAAAAGCAAAGACATGATCACAAAAGGCAGGAGTGGCGCCTTTATTTCTGAGATCTAAATGACCTCATAGAGATCATTGTGATCACAGCGTTGTCCGCAAAGGCTGCAGCGACTATCCCAGTGTCCTGCGTGAGTTTTATGAGCTGAGTTGCATTCTTGTAGTCAGGACTTATTTAGAAGTTGTAATTGTGAAGATACACCGAAGGTTTCTAAATATGGCATCTGTATTATTTTATCTGGTAGCTGTTCCAGACATGTTTAGGGCACCCCTTTATTTAAGTGACCGGGCAGGCATAATCATTGATGTGCTTTGAGACTAACACAAAGCAGGCAAAATGGAATCAAAGTCATATACTCAATATTAAATCTGGGATTGATCTATTTTATGCTTAAAATTGTATCCAGCGCCCTTAGATTGGTAACAGTAATTAATGGTATGACTGGAAAGATTGGAAAACCACCCTTCTGCATCCCAAATGAGCCGAGTCTTACGGGAGCACAAAGTAGACAGGTCATTTTCAACGCTTGTGTTTCTTCTTCATCCCAATGAAAGATCATGATGCCTCATGTTGTGCTGACTAGAACATATCTGTCTCTGATCAGAACAGAGTTTGAAAGACGTATACATTCAACAAGTTCATATGCATGCTGTAATTTTTAACTTTACTTTCCCCCTGAGCTCTGGGGCAAAATGTCACCTTCTTCTCCCATGCTAATTCAAAAGTAGGAGGTGGGTAGTTGTCCCTATGGTGACAGAGTCTCATCTTACCCAGTCCACTTCCAACCTGTTACTAAATTACTAAGCACCAGGCATGCATCAAAGCGCACCAAGGTGCTGTTAGCAGTGAAACCCAACACCATCCACTTAAAACATGTTGCGTCAGCTTGGAAATAAGGATGGAATAAACCCCTTACTTTCTACCCCCACCTCTCTAAATGACCACCTAGCAACTGTCACGTTTCCTAAGTTACAAACCCAGGTCCTCAACCTACTTAGCACAAATTATTTCCCAGAGGTACACCTGACTTTCTAAAGCTCTTGTGGTTTAGGCATGGCAATACTTTTTCTAATGCTCAAAAACATGTATTTTGACTTGTTTCACATCTTCATTATTCTACATTAAGGATCAAGTCAGGTGTATTTTCTTTAGAAGCAATTTTTTAAGTGTCTATTAGCTGCAAAGAGCAATTACATTTCTTTAGAGCATCCCAGAGTCCAGGAGGCCAAGTATAAGATTTTTTCCTCAGCCAAGCTTTTCAAAGGATCGGCCAAGAGAATTGGGACAGGCCGCATTCCTTACTAATAGTGCACCACAACACTCTTTAATACCCTGCCGGGAAGAATCTTTTACTTTGAAATTTAAAGTCTCATCTGACAGAACCCATGCCTGCAGGAGCCTCAATTTATCTGCTCTAGAGGAAGACCGGCTAAATCCAGTCTGAGAGAATCCAAACCTTTGTTTCCATGGTGAGGTTTCCAAAAAGCTACTGAACATTCAATTCTGTCCACTATAGTCAGAGGTGTGGGTTTATTTAAGAATCTACCTTAAGTTAACACAAAGGCACACAAAGCATCAGTCGTTGCTGCGAGTAGGAGTTAGGTCATTGTGGGATGACATTGTAGGTATTTACCTTGAAAGGGTGTCGGATGGTGTGCACCTGTTAAGTTAACTCATCTGAAAAATGAAGGGGTTGAACTAGATGATCTCTAGGGTCCATTTTAGGTCTATGCTTTAACTAAGAGGTTAGCTAACTGTGAACTTGACCAAGTACTCAGCTTCACTAATACATAAGTTTCCTTCCAGTTCTAAAACCAATCTACGAATCCCTATATAATTTCAGGGAGTATCTTTTCTTCCTTTAAAATTAGCAGATCATTTTAAGATTAGAGTTCTCCACATTATTTGAATCGAGAGGGAAGAAGTAGAGAAAGAAGGAATTTTTTTTCCTAGTAGTTGGTTCTATGGGGCAATCAAACAGGCCAATAATTAGGCATAATTCAGAGCAGGCAAAACATGCTTAAGAACATAAAGTTCCAGTAATAAAACCAAAGAATAGCAATTGTGAGAACAATGTTTCCCATAGAAACTAATAAGAAAAGGTTTTCACTTACTTGGTTTCTAATATCAAAAGTCTCTTGGGAACCAGCAGTTAGCGTAATGGCTATGTCGCTGGATTCCCACATAGTCGACCGTGGTTCAAGTCCTGGACTCGGTGGCTTAAAACTCATGCTGGGTGCGTGTGCATGCGTGCCCAAGACCCCAAGAGGAGATTGGAGGAGAAGGGATTGCGGCGTGACCATCCCCCCGGGGGGTGATTTCTCACTTTCTGTATTTCTGTCTCTCTCTGTCTCTCTCTGTCTGTCTGGCAAGTGCATGCATCCTATAGAGAAAAACCTCGCGACCCCCCAAAAAAAAAAAAAAGAAAAAGAAAAGTCTTTTCCTAGCAGTCCTAAGCTTTTTTTAAATGGATATGCAAAAGGCTATTTCAAGAGCCAGTCATTAAAATGACCCCTGACTAAGCTTAGGTGTCTTGAGTCCGTTGTGAGGTTTCTCTATAGACTTGGAGCTGTAGTCATCAATCCGAGGCTCGTACACGAAATAAAATTCCTGAAGGTAAAACAGTGTGATACAATACAGAAGATGTGGGATTTGGGTTCAGAGGATCATGCAAAATGCACTTTGTATCTCATCTCTGTCTTCTTCTAGCTTTGAAGTTGGACAGTGCTTGTACTGAGGGTTTTAGTTCCACCATCTGCAAAATGGTGATAATATTACCGACTTTAAATGTTTGTCGTGAGGATTAAGCGAGGTAATGGGAGAAGTCAGGCTTCAGCAGTTGCTGGAGTTACCTGTTGAATTCATTACATTTCAACTGCACAATTGTTTACTAGTGGCCAGGAACTGCGTAAGGTGCTATAGATTCAATGACGGGAAAACCTACCCCACGCTGTTGAATGAAACCATCCCATATGAACTATTGGCACCTGAGGAACTGACTTCTCATGAGGTCACATGTCAGAAGTTGTGCTGCTCATTATTCTCTGCCCAAATCCTCCAGAGGAAACTGTTGTATAAACTGATCGACCACACCCCTTTTTAATATTTTATATTAAAGTAATATTTATTAATCAACTGCTGTGAAACACAAAAGTCTTATCTACAGATTGTTGACATTATGATGTAAACAATCCCAGGGCCAGCAGGTGGTGTGGTGGTTAAAGCGTTGGACTCCCACAGGGCCAACCATGGTTCAAGTCCCATACCTGGAGGCTTGAAAATCACACCAGTTGTGTGTGCGTGCATGCCCAAAATCCTGAGAGGAGAATGGAGGAGAAGGGATTGTGACATGGCCATCCCCCTGAGAGGAGTGATTTCTCACTTTTTCTCCCTCTCTCTCTCTCTCTCTCTCTCTGGACCAGTGTCCAGAGACCATCTCACCAAGCCCCAGTCCAACAATGAGAGTAACTCCTAAGGGGAAGATGCGAGGGCCTCGTGCTGTTTTCATAGCACAGGAGTTCATCTCCTTGTCTGATCACACAGAAGAGACTTGCTGATGTCACGTGGTTATTTCAGTTATTTCTGGGTCACAGTCTTAAGGTCTGGTATCTGCAAATTCTCAGCAAAACTGGTTAGTGTCTGCATGAAACAAGGCTTATACCAGAGGAAGAAAACAAGCTACAGGCCAGTCTAAAGTACTTTCCCCGACGCCGTTGGGCTCCATCTGCAGTTGCTTTGTTTCCTCCTGTAGCCGGGCTATCTGTCGAGGCTAGGAAAGTAGGAAATGTGCACGGTTCCTATCCTCGAGGTATTGCTCAGTCTCCTGGGGAGAAGGGATTGTAGGGGCGTAAATTGCTAGCACAAATAATATCTGTTCATACAAGGGGACTTCCAAAAGTCTGTGGAAAAAGTGGAATTAAAGTATGAGTTTATTTTGTTGCAGAAAGTTTTTGAAAGCCATGTATAGATTTTACATAACATGCATTTTCCACGAACTTTTTAATGATCCCCCCCCCCCCCACATGTCCTCAAGAAGTTACCTAAGAAGGTGAGGTTTTGCTGAACTTTTAAGAATGAGTAAGATTTATTTATGTATTTATTTATTTTATTTAACTTTATTTTATTTATTTATTTATTTATTTTAATGTAACCAGAGAGAGGCAGAATGAGAGAGAGAGAGAGAGAGAGTGGGAGAAAGGGAAAGTGAGAAAGCAAGCCACTAGGTCCAGGACTCAAACCACGGTCAGCCATGTGGGAGTCCAGTGCCCTTAACCACCATGCCACTTGCCAGTCACAGAATGGGTAGGATTTAAATAGATAGGTATAAGATAGGAAAAAGTTGGTATTATGAGAACCCATATTAAAAAGCCCTATTGTTGGGGCCAGGAGATGGTGTAGTGGTTATGTCACCGACTCCCACATGGAGTGGTTCAAGTCCCAGACCCAGTTGCACTGAGAAATGTCTGCTACCAGTTACTAATTACCCCCTGGAAAGATTTCCCTCTTTATTGATCAGTGGCAATATGTAAGTCTCTGGCTCACTCATGTTGGTTTTTTGTTTTTGTTTTTGTTTTTTTTTTTTCCACTTCAGGGTTCTCTGTCAAACTGAGTGCAGATACTAAGCTTCATCCCTAGTTAATTCATAATCTGGCAGTCTAAGCAGTTGTCATTAAAAACACGTTCACATAAAAAAATGCCCAGACTACCTTGTTTCCCGCCGCCCCCCCAGAATAAAAGAGTTAACTTAATTGCATGCTTTATTAGAAATGCTTTTTCTTAATACATAGGGTGCATATAATGAGATAGGGGGCAGAAGTAGCAGTGAGTTGAACATTTTAATAACTATGATACATTTAACAAATTATGGGTGCCACAGATGTTAGCATTCTCATGCTTCTAAAGTGAAATTTAACATATCAGTGAAGTAGTGTGTAGAAAATTACAAAGCCTATGAACTTCAGTGGAAAAGGAAAAAGTCATAAAGTAAAAAAAAAAAAAAAGAAAAAAGGAAGAGAAAAAGAGTATGTTATCTTAGTTATGGCTCATCAAAGTCTCTTCCAGATATGTGATGTGAAACAGGCTTAGAATGCCAAATAGTAATAATAAGTAATAGTAATAAAATACCTTTTTTTCTGCTGTTGTCTCATGGACTTATTTTTGCTCATGCTTTAAAATGTCCCTCTGGGGTCAGCAGGTGGCAAGGAGGTTATTAAGTTAGCTGGATCTCACATGGCTGACTGTGATTCAAGTCCCAGACCCAGTGGCTTGAAAATCATGCCAGGAGCATGTGCGTGCATGCCCAAGATCCCAGGAGGAGAATGGAGGAGAAGGGATTGCAGTATGGCCATCCCCCTGGGGGTGATCTCTTACTGTCCTGTCTCTCTCTTTCCCCAGCGAGTGCATGTTCCCTAAGACAAAAACCTCTCAAAGAAAAAAAATTTTTTACTGTTAAAAAAAAAAAAAAATGAGTACAGCAAATTCAGGGGCCCAGGAACGATATGAGGTCAGGGCACCTCGATGGCGGCAGAAGCTACCGTTTTGCAGCTCAGTGCTTAAGCCCTACAGTGAACATGCTCTGGAGCTGTTTCCCCTTGGTCCGTGCCACAGAGCCAGGAGGTCCACTTTTACCTCCGACGCTGTCTATCATACCCTCAGACCACGAATGCCAAGCTCCAGCCGAATGTACCAATGTTTCTGTTGCTGACAACACAACCAATCACAGCCATTTGGCCCATTAGAGAAGCACCATAATGGGGCATAATTACTGGTTGACAGTGAATAAAACAGGGATATTCAGATAAGGCCCAGGGTGGAAATTGGATAAGGGACAAGGAATCTGATTCCCCAAAATGAGGTTGTGATTACACTACTATTTTCTATTTCAAAGCAGAGAACAGGGGAAGAGTGGAAGCTAGTGTAAGGAAAGAGAGCAAGAGTTGAGAATACTGCTGTTTCTTTTCTGTGCAGTCCAACCTGTTTCAACCCATATTCTACTTGTTTCAAAACTGGTTAATATGGATTATCCTCCTCTCAATACAAGTGACTTCTAAGTAAATGCCTGTCTCAAAGTCTGACCTTTTGAAAATGAACCAGTAAGGATCAGACATTTATGGATCATTTATTGAACCTCAGTTAGGACCTTAAAGTTCTCTTCGGGAGTTAACAAAGGCCCACAGCTCTTCAATGATCCGGAATCACCAAAGATATAGAAATATAGAAAGTACATATCGAAAAATAGGAAAACTGAAAGAAAATAATACAACTCTTAACTTCCTCTTTTAGTGTCTAATTTCAGCACCTTAATTTTATTCAGAGCCGTCAGTATTTAATATGATGTGGTTTTGGCTCAATCTGACTTAAGTAAATTCAAATACATCTGTCTATCCTGGAACTCTTAAGCTAAATTTTGCTATAAAGGTATACCTAAAAGAAAACCTTGAGTTTCTCTGTAAGATGAGAACATTTTATTGTAATGAAAAACTCCTCAAATTGGACCAGCAGATGACATAATGGTTACATCACTGGACTCCCTCATAGTCGACCACGGTTCAAAGTCCTGGACACAATGGCTTAAAATTCACACTGGGAGTGTGTGCCTGCGTGCCCAAAATCCCAAGAGAAGAATGAAGAAGAGATTACAGTGTTGTTATTCCCCCAGGGGGGTGATTTCTCACTTTTTATCTCTCTCTCTCTCTCCCCCCCCCGCCCCCGCGCAGTGGGCACATGTGCCCTATAGCAAAAATCTCTCTCAAAAAAGAAAAGAAAAGAAAACACACACACAACTCCCGCAGTGTTTGTCTGTAAACCAGCTACTAAAAGTATCAGGAGACAAGATGAAAGGAAAGATAATTTTAGCAAGCCAAGTAGGTTTCTCCTTATAACCAGGACCTAGTTTGCAGATAAGATCGAGTTTTGAAATCCCCACACTGCCTGTTGTTTCTCAACAAATCCTCTAGTTGATATTTATTTTAATTTATCTAAAGGCCCTATGTCTGTAATTCCAGCTCATTTGAGTTAGTCCTCTGTGGCTGTCATTTTTAATGTGAAAATGTTTTAGCCCATGGTTTCTATCATTTTTGTCTTTGCTCTCGTCAAAAGAATGAGCTGGTGCAGGGGGAGGAGGACGTGCACTGCGTTACGAGGCAGAGCATGGCAGCTGTGAGCCCCACGTTGAGCACCTAGATCAGAGAGCTGAGCATATGTTCCACATGCAGGCTAGAGAATGCACATCCACATCTTATTATGAGAGATATGAAAGGATTTCAAATCATATGGGTGGATCGGAATTACACACTTTTTTTGGATTACAAAGTCCTGCTACATTGGCTTAAAGAACTGCTTACCTTTGACCCAGCAATTCTAATCTTGTATATATCTAGAGAAACTTTCATATTTATGCACAGAGACATGTACAATATTTTAAAGTAATATAAACAATGCTGTGATGAATAATTACCAACAACATAAATACCTATCATTACCAGGGAAATGAATATTTCATGTCGTAGTCATGCAACTGATGAAGTAAAATGAATTAACTAGAACTATGAGAATCAACATAGGAAAAAATCACAAATACAATTTGGAGCAAAAGAAAGAACACTTTACAAGGATTTAGCCAGTAGATTACTATATATATAGGCTTCAAAATCATGCGAAGCAATATTATTCAGTGATTATTGATACAAATATACGACATAAACTCAGTGCAGTACAGGGAATGCAATGACAGAGGTACACAATGGACTCCCCCGTAGCTTCAAGGCATATTTGTTTAAGAATTACTTATTTCATTTTATTTTTATCATTGTTATTATAGTTGCTGTAGGATATGTGTGCTCACCAGAGAGAGAGAGAGAGAGAAAGTGAGAAAGCAAACCGCCAAGTCCAGGACTCAATCCGGGGTTGGCCATGTGGGAGTCTGGCACCTCAGCTACCACGAAACCTACTGGCTGCAAAAGCATGTTCCTTAAAAAATAATTCTAGGCAAACTGGGGCCAGCAGGTGGTGTGGTGGTTAAGGGTGTTGGACTCCCACATTGCTGACCGTGGTTCAAGTCTCAGACCTGGCAGCTTGCTCTCTCACTTTCCCTCTCTCTCTCTCTGTCTCTCACTCTGTCCTCCTCTGGTCAAATTTTTAAAATAAATAAATACAGTTAAATAAAATAATTATTTTTTAAGAAGTAATTCAAGGCAAATAATGTAAAATGTTTAGAAGACCAAACAGTGGCTATTTGGATATTAGTAATATTTCACTTTTCTATAAGGTTGTAATGTTTCACTTAAAAAGAAAAGCAAACAACAAAAGCCCACCAGGGTGAATGAATTTATTTTTAAGTTTTGAGAAATTTTGTACCATGTTTCTTTCTTTTTTTTTTATTTCTTGTATTCAGGTTTTGACTCTTCCACAAGGATATGCAGGAGTTTTCAGAAAAGATTTCTTAAGAATTCTTCAAAGACATCGTTTAAGCAGTGAAGCACAAACAGAAGAATCTTCTATAGTTCTATCTAGATTACTCTTCTCTGGGCTGAATTTTTTCAGTATGAGTTTGCTTATCACACACATTGGAGTTGGAGAATTTGGCTATTTCCCCAAAAGATTAGAGCCCAGAACCTCTGAGACAGGTCCAATCTTGGAGAGTAAGTGTCTGTTTCTTCTTCATTCATTCCTGGGCGCTTGAACTTCTTGAGTTGGGGTAATCTCATTCTAATATTGCAATTCCCAGCACTGTCATTCTGAAACAATGTACTATTCTCTTTGGGCATGTTTGCACTGTTCATTTCTACCTGCATCCACTCTTGAGAGCTTTCAATATTTAACGTTGGAGCTTCATGGTAAAGTTTACTGTTCTTGTGGAAATAAGAATAGAAACTTACCTCTTTTTGCCTGTAGGGTAAACGAACTCCAAATCAACACTTTATAAATGGTTTGTCTAGCAGCATGATGTTTCCAATTGAAAATGAAGATTTTTCTACCTAATCAACACACACTTCGAAAAGAAGTAAAGGAAGCCATCAATCTAGCAATTTCTCTCATTAAATGGATAGTACCCATGTGAAATATATTTTTTTTACATTCCTCTATTCTCTCATTTTTATTTTTGAAGAGTTCTCAGTCATGCAATCTTGAGGAGAACAGAAAATACTCCAACCAGCAATAATCCAGGAAGACATCAAAAACGCCCAGACAGAATAAGTCTAATGTTTCCTCACCAGGTGTCTAGCCTCTTAATCTAGTGATAATATCACATTCCAAAGGAACAGGCCTGAGACCCTCCCAGCGGGTGCTGTAAGCACTCACTTCTCCACCGAGGATTACCAGCTTGGTGCGCGCAAACATTCTCACCTGCATCCGAGGCGGGGCGGGGGCCTGATCTCTAGTTGCTGAGAACAGCAGCATTTGAGGAGTAAATGAGAGCCCAGGCAGGACTTTTCTTTAGAAACCAAAACCCAGCAGCAAACATGCCGGTTTCAGGTGCAGGTGCCAAATTATCTGGGGTTTTATTTACACTTCCTGAGACAGTGGCCCTTCCTCGGCATCTGCAATCAAAACGGTAGTCCTCTCCAAAAGAGCGTATTTTAGGAGAGCGCGTTTCATAGCTGTTTCAGGCTAAGGCAACAGAAGGGCACCGCGCATCTCCCTTGGCAGAGGATAAAGCCGGGAACTGCGGGGGGATTTGACCCCGAACCCTGAATAGGGCCATGGGTCTCCTCTGAAGAAAAGCTTGGGGATGAGAAGCACCATGAGACAAAGCAAAGGACATTTCTGGATCCAATTTATAGTGCTGTTACCATGACGACAAACCCAGCCAAGTTTTCCCCCTGAGAAACTGAGCGTGGCCATTCGAATATCCTTTGCAGGGTTGATACGTGACCATTTGGGGATGGCTGCATGGAGGAAAGGACACAGGCCTGGGGGGAGGACACTAAGGTCCTGACACCACTCAGCCACAGAATTGCTACCTGCCATGTCCCTATCCGTAATGCTATGACGGAGTCGGGAGAGCCCGAGTCAGGAAACCTCACCCCAGATCCTATGCTTCAGGCTTCCTGGAGAAGTTCAGCAATAAAGCCAGTGCCCTGCCTGCCCCCACTCCCCGACCAAGCGAATTAGAATCTCTGGGAGGTGGGCTTGCACTGGTACCTGTCTAAAGTTCCCAGGATGACACCACGGCAGAACAGACTGCGCATTAGGGTAGCGTTTCTCACACTTTAACGCGTGGGCATTTATCAAACGCAGATTCTGATACAGTACGTCAAGGATGAGACATTTCTGACGAGCCCTCAGGTGACGCAGTGCTGGTCCACAGATGATACTTACGAGTAGCAAAACACTACAAGGTTTCCAAACACCTTTCCAGCCTGGTGATTCTGGGAGTCTGCACTAACTACCACCTACATACAGGCTCTTCTTAGACAACAGAAACATGAGCCTCCCACCCCACTTCCTCTTACTGCCACAGCTGGGCACTCTTCCCACCCAAGATGATGCATTTCAGAGGAATACTTTTTCTAATGCCATGTGCAGTGGTAGGCTTGAGGAGATCTTTTTTAAAAATTAATTTCATGAGAGAGAGAGAGCCGTGGTGGTCTCCCCATGTAACTATCCCCGGCCTCCCGGTCAGCCAGGGTCACAGGTGCATGTGGGCACACCTGGCCTGTTCAGGTTAAGCCATGATCCAAACTCAGGCTTCTGGTGTGGATCCAATGTCAAAGAGCTTCCTACACCTGTGCCACTCCAGCGGGGCCTCTATGAGACCGGTTGCTCAATGTTCTTCAGAATTGTAGAGCTAGTTCGGAATCTTCTGGTGCCTTGTATTACACTGTGGGCAGTTGTTACCAGTGGACAGCACAATAGACACCGAAACTGCAGGAGACCGTGGGAGGAGGCATTCACACAGATAAGAGTCCACGATGCAGAGTCGAGCACCGTAAGTGGCTATGTAGACTTCTTGTCCAGGAGGCTGTGTGCACGCTGGAGACTGGGGCAGTGCCTGGACAAAATTGCCGTCAAGCTAAATCAAAAGACGAGAAACCCCGGGGAGGCGAGGCAAATCCATGCAGAAGAAACTGTGGTGTAGATGACTGTACGTGTAAGAGAGAAACTGAGAAAGTGAGCGGTAACGCAATATGGCTGAGGAAAAAGGTGGAAACACGCTGGGGCGAGCTGTGCACGTAGACAGGGCTTGATAAAGGGTCAAGGAGCCGAGTCACGGTCCTACAGTGAGAGAGCCCGCAAAGCTGTTTGTCTGTTTGTTTTTGTTTTTGGAGAGGTTTTTTGCTATAGGGCACGTGCGCTTGCCACACAGCCAGTGAGAGACAGAAAGCGATAAATCACCCCCCAGGGGGATAGCCACACTGCAATCCCTTCTCCTCCATTCTCCTCTCGGGATCTTGGGCACGCACGCACACGCACCTGGCATGAGTTTTAAACCACTGGGTCCGGGACTCGAACAGCATTTGACTACATGGGAGTCCAGTGACATAGCCATTACACTAACTGCTGGTCCCATCCATCAAAGCTTTTTAAACAGAAGTCACAGGGTTTGCTTTTCAGAAATAACTGTGTGATGTGAAGATTACGAATCACAAGGCAAGCATATTATCAGACGGCAGTGACCGACAAATTAGGAGCATGTGAGTGTGCTCACATAATTAAGAGTCGGGTATGGAGAGGAACTATGAGAATGTGAGTGTGCTCACAGCATTAACACTCTTGAGTGAGTGAGGTACTGTGGGAAAGTGAGTGTGCACAAGCATTAACAGTTGAGAGTGAGTGAGGTACTGTGGGAATGTGAGTGTGCTCACAGCATTAACGGTTGGGAGCAAGAAAGGTACTATGAGAGTGTGAGTGTGCTTACAGCACACTTGAGTAAGTGAGGTACTCTGAGAATGTGAGTGTGCTCACAGAATGAACAGTCAGGAGTGAGTGAGGTACTCTGAGAATGTGAGTGTGCTCACAGAATGAACAGTCAGGAGTGAGTGAGGTACTCTGAGAATGTGAGTGTGCTCACAGAATGAACAGTCAGGAGTGAGTGAGTTACTATGAGAATGTGAGTGTGCTCACAGAATGAACAGTC